GTGGGGACAGTCGGACTAGCCAAAATCTGGTCGCGTACTGAATCAAGATCATTAGGAAGTCCAACGAGGGTAAGAACTAGAAACATCTTCTGTCGCTGCTCTTGTTGTTTTTCAACGNCTGCAGCAAGGCAGAGTAATCGAGAGAATAATTCATCAACTGTGGGGACAGTCGGACAAGCCAAAATCTGGTCGCGTACTGAATCAAGATCATTAGGAAGTCCAACGAGGGTAAGAACTAGAAACATCTTCTGTCGCTGCTCTTGTTGTTTTTCAACGCTAGCAGAAACTGGCATCAACTTCTCAAATTCCTCCATGACTGCATGTACTTGACCCAAGTAAGTAGACATATCTAATTCCTGCTTCTTTAAGTTTGTCATCCGCGATATCACATCATAGAAGCGAGATATGTCATTAGTGTATAAGGTACGAGCCTTTGCCCAAACCAAATAACATGTCTGGAATGGACGAAACAAGAGCATCAACTTGGAATCAATAGATCGCCACAAGATGCTACATAACTGAGCATCGATCTTTGCCCAAAGTGTTATCGCATTTTCATCTCCTTCGCTAGACTGTTTGATTAGATGATCTTGAACACTTTGACCTTTACACCACAACTCGACAGATGAAGCCCAAACTAAGTAGTTTGAACTTCCCATTAAAGGTACCGAGGTAATCATAACACTAGAGCTTCCAGAACTCATGTTTCTAGACCCAAAAACATCAAATCCCAAAGACATCGTTGCAAATTATTACCAAATAAGAGAAAAATCAACTGTAATCCACTGAAACAGAATAAGGGAATATTGTAGTCGTCGGAATCTTACTGTAGCTGCCGCAAAAACTCAAAGTGTTTGGAATGAAACGAAAACAGTAAGGGTAGGATCGGAATTACCAGGCGACCCAACTGTTCTGAAGGAATTTTTTCAAAAAATGGCTGGAAATGGTCGTAAGCGCCGGCGCGTGAGCTTCTGGTGGCGCGTGGGTGCGCGTGAGGAGGCTGCTGCCAGAGATTTTCACTGGGGTTTGGTCGCCGGACAATGACGACTCTTGTGGTAGTGTTGGATTTTGCACAACACTGACGGAGACAAAGAAGACGCAAACAGCCTTGAAAAAAACTAAAAAGAGTCGCAGGAAAAAGATTTTCGGTGACTTATTTCTCTTCCCGGAGTCGCTGGAATTTATGCACAGCGATAAATCTCTCACGATTGCTCTGATACCATGTGAGAAAGCACGGGAGAAAATATATTATTGATATTAGATATTCAATGCAATACAAGAGGTCCTTATTTATAGCTATACTCTACAAGGACATATTACTCCTATTCCAATGTGGGACAAGACTACATTATGTACATATCTGTAAACTAACACTAATCATTGCACTTAAGATTCAATTATACGACCTTGATTTTCATGTCAACTGAGAATCAGAAAAGTAACACTAAACAAGTAGGACTGATTCACACAAGGCGTCTAAGAAAAACTTAGAAAAAGAAAAATAAAGCAGAATAAAGGCATGAAAATGACTTATATTAGGAAGGTGAAAAAATTAAGAATACCATCTGTGCACCCTTGAGCCTGTAATAATATAAATTGCCAAGACTGTCAAGTACGAAAAACCGTCTCTTCCAATCTGCCCTCAAACTGGAAGATCTTTTCAAAAGATATCCCTGCTTAATAGTTTGGACCTGGAAGAATGTAAGAAAAAGTATCCAGAGTTTAATGTCTAGTATTTACAATAAAATTAATCTACAAAATCAGGAGACATTTCAGGGATTCCTATACTTAAATCTAGTGCTATATTTATTGTAGAGCTCTCCACCCCTACACTGACAAATAACAGACAGAAATGACATTGATATATTACTTACCGCTCCTTCTGCACTGGACTGCATAATTGCTTCTATATTTTTGTCTGAATTCATACCAACACCATTTGAGGCTATAGAACTAGTTGAAGTACCAAGGTTACTGGATCCCCGCATATGATTAAGCTCAGCTTGTGTCCTGAACTCTTGGATTCTTTTGGCAAGTTTGTCTTGTTCTATGCAGGCCTGTTCCTTCGACTGCTGAGCATATGTCAAAACCTGATTTGAGGAGTTAATATTAGCACCAAAAATATGCAAAAAGAAGAAAGATATCACATACAAACTGCAAATTTTTAATCATTTTGACTGTTGTCAATGTCAATAATCAAGCAAGCTGCAAATCATCCATTTTATGTTTATAAATGCAGCAAAAGAGGCAGTGCAAGACATATAGATCTGAATGTAATCAGTGGAGGTGGCAAATGAGCAGGTTGGGCTACATTGTGTAGTTGAAGAAGGTTAGGTAGCCAACGGGTCATAAGCAACCCATCCAATGCTGGTCCGCTGCGGTTTAGGCCAAAACTGGTCGAGTAACCTGTAGTATTTGAAATTCATCCTAAATAAGTTTTCACTAATATATACTTTTTATATATGCTCAGTTTATGCCTTTCACTGAGGTACTAGTGAAGTATCATTTATACCAGAGACTATACATTTTCTCCTTCAAGAAACTTTGCAGTGATTAAAGAGATTTTCAAAACAAAAAAGCAAAAGAAATGAGAAGCAAAGCAAATAAACACCAGCTCCTCAACAAGCCCAATGCTTACATTATGCTTGGCTTTGTCAACTTTGGCTGGTAGGGTGGATCTCCCAAGAAGGGTGTCATGATTGACATCGTTAGTAATCAGCATGTGACTGATCCCCTCTCTCTCCGTGTAAAAAAAGGTATTTCTAAAATGAAATAGCCATCTCTCTCCTTATCAAAAAATAAACACCAACTATATCTCAATCCCTACAAACAAGTTAGGGTCTGCTATATGAATCCTCTCTGACCACGTTACTCCGTTTAAACTCATCTCATGCCAATATTATGCAAATACAAATAAAAAGCATTAGAAGTTCTGTATATTTTCGAAACTTATAAACCTCCGGAAGGCTAACCCACTCCTAGAAAGCATATGACCGATGATAAAAGTGCTAATATCTAAAACATATACTCAACTAATATGTATCGCCTACATATATCTTTTTTCCCATTATGCCATATCTTTTGCTAAGTCTGAATAGATTCCCAAAAATTGTAGGTCTTTCGAGACAACTTTCTTCCATGTGATTTTGGATGTACCTCGTTCTCTTTTAATACCTTCATTTACCATGGTTTCACACCTACGGACTGTGCGAAGTGGTCTAACTTTGCTCTTCGTTAATATTTGGGGCCAAATGAGCCCTTGCGGTTAGCAAAAGGGTTCATCTACGACCCCTTTTTTTTGTTGCTAACAGAGCATTATTGAGCTAAAACTAGATTTTAAATACAATGATTAGCACTTGAGGCTGCTACATAGCTATCTTTAAAGGCACTATTTTTAACCAGCCCCAACCCCTCCTCTATTTTACCCACCCTTGACACCAACAACCACCACCTCTCCACAGGGTTACCACCATCACTGTCCCTTTCAGAAATAATAGAGAAGGAGAATATGGTAGATGGTGGACGGTGAAGGTTGTTGCCTTTTGGATGAAGGAGGTTATTTCGAGGGTGGATAAAAAGGGGGAGGGGAATACCAGTGGAGACAAAAAACAAAATACAGTAGGTGATTTCTTCCCGTTTGTTCAAGCATTGCTGGACAGAGTTACCTGGTACCTGTTGTTGGTGGGAGGTAGCAGGTATCCCGCGAAATTAGTCGAGGTGCACGCAAACTGGTCCCGACACCACGATATTTAGAAGAAAAAAGAAGGGGGGTTGTTAAAAAATCAGGGGCTTAAATGATAGGACACATGGCATCTTCCGGTGCTAATCATGATAATTAGAGATAAGTTGATCTCAAAGCTTCCGCCGTTAGCAAATAAGGGCATTGGTAAGCTCTTTTGCTAACGACAGGGGCTTCTACCGCAACTATTAATTGAGGGAAAAGTTAGAATATTTTGCATAGTTCAAGCACAAATTTGGTCCATTGCCCTAAAAAATAGCCATCTTTCTAGTAATTCTCAATTGCAGCTTTTAAATGAGGTAGAAATACCTTAAAATAAGCAAGCACATTAGCACAAAACCCAAGATGCTCTTAAAAGACATGAATCAGCTATTCTATGCAAAGATTAATCTCCTTAAATATAATTTGCGCATATTTCAATTGATGGTAGGCTAGAAACCCGTGTTTTAGCCATAAGATTGCACTCTAATTACTGCATTTTACGTTGTTTGAGCTTAAACGAAAGTAATTTACACTTATTATGTATTTTGTGCCTTGTAGGAAACGATTCCGAGCTATTAAGGTAATTTGGAGCTAAATCGAACAAGTTGGAGCTTTGAAGTCTGAATAGAAGCCCAAGCAATTAAGCCGGGATCACGTTCAGGAGGTCGAGAGCCAAGTCCGGATGTAAAAAAAATGACGAAACGAATTTACTCTGTAAAAATTGCACAGTTGCAATGCAAAATATGCCAAGATTGTATTTTTGCAAAGTGTTCTGCAATTTTCCACAAGCGCGCGGGGTGCGGCGCGGTAGTATAAAATTGTTAGAGTGTTTTCCTATTTCAGCTAAAAAAGGATAGTTTCGTCCGGATTTATTTTTTTGGGGAGGCTTAAATACACCAGAAAACAACATTTTCGGGACTTTTGGACACATTTTCGACCTAAGGAGGCTTGGGAAGAACACAAGCAAAAGGATTTCATCATTCCTTCTTCACTCAAAATCCTGGTTTGGATTGAATTTATGTTTTCCTATACTTTAGTTATATTTGTGAAGAACTTCGCCATGTCTATGGAGTAGTTCCTTTTATGCTTTGATGGATTTGGTGTATTGATGATTGTTTGTGGATTATAACTCTATTTTTATGTATTTGAATCGTTTTAGAAGATTTAATTGTTGCATCAATATTTACTAGTTCATGTAATCGAGAGAGGCATAACTTGTGATATCTTTGCATTATATAGTTGGTTGAGTTCATAGATTCTTCTAAGTAATCGAAAGAGGCTAGTTGAATCATTGATTAAACCTAGTTAGAAAAATAATCGAAAGAAGTTTTCCTAAAGACCGATCCGTTACGCATTCTTGCACATTTTCACAGTGCTTAAATTGGTTCATCTCGTGAGGATAAGACTTAATCGAGAGAGGAGTTTTTGCTGAACGTTTGAACTAATAATAGAGTAAATTCGAGAGACTCACTTGAATATTATAAGTGAATTATCTAGAGTTAGATCCCGAACAATTATCTTGCACCTATCCTGTCAAAACCCTATCCTCTCCCACTGACAACCTTAGTTTCTTACTCCTTGTCTCGATAATCATTAGTCAATAGCCTTAGATTCTTAGTTAATTTCACTTCTTAGTCATATAAATCTCAATTGTTGATCCTCCTCGATAGCAATCAAGCTAGAAACTACGAGAATACTGTTTAAATTCAATCCATGTGGATACGATATTATAATATACTATCTTTGATTAGCGAGCACAATTTAAGTGTGTGTTTTGCGCTCGTCAAATTTTGGTGTCGTTGCCGGCGATTGGCAATCAATAGTGTTTGAAATAGTTTGTAGTACTAATTCAGGAAACTTTTTTTTTTTTTTCTTCACGGGTATATCTTCCTTGTGCAGGCAACAGGTTAAGTTTGTGGTGTATGACTCGATTTTCTTCAAAAGAAGTAATACCCTACAACCCGGAATTGGAAAAACACCTGCGGCAACTTAGGAAAGAGAAAGAGTGCACCAAAAAGTTCTTGGGGCAACCTTCAACCCAAGAACACATGGCTAATAACGGCGACGACGAGGTAGATGTAGCTGCAAGAGAGGAAGCACAACAAGAACAACAAGAAGTTGCACGGAGAATTGCTGATGAGACTGTCGAACATAACGGGGGTCGAAGATTCAATCTAAATCGACCTTTGGTTGAAGACCAATTCGAGAATGCGGTACCCAAGCCTGGTAGAGCGTTGGGTGATTATGCCAGACCAGTCTACAATCAAGGATTATCAAGTGTTAGACCACCTACAATTGCAGCAAACAATTTCGAGTTGAAGCAAATCCTTGCTTCAAACCATTCAGAACTACTGTGTCTTCAGAGGGAAGATGAACGAAGATCCAAACATGCATCTAATGGACTTTGAGGAGATTATGAATACCTTTCAATACAATGGGGTATCATGCAATGCAGTGTACTTAAGGGCATTTCCCTTTTCACTTAAAGATGATGCTAAGCAGTGGCTTCGAAGCTTGCCCAATGGATCGATTAGAACATGGGAGGAGATGACCAGAAAATTCCTGGATACTCCTCCGCTAAGACAGGTAAGTTTAGAAGAGAAATCCTTACTTCTTCTAGAAAGATATTGAAACTGTTTTTGAAGCATGTGAGAGGTTTAAGGAGATAGTTAGAAAGTATCAACATAACGGAATTGAACTCTGGATGCAACTCCAGGACTTTTGGGAAGGATTGACACCGACCTCGCGTAAAACATTGAGCAATGCAGTTGGAGGCCCTTTGATGAAGAAGACTCCAGAGCAGATAGTTATAATTCTTGATGAGCTATCTGAAGATGCTAATCAGTGACCCTCTGAGAATGCTGAAAGAAGAAGATCGACTGGTGTTCACCAAGTTGATGCTAATACATATGTGCAAGTGCAGCTTGATACTATGGCTAAAGAAATACGAAAGCTAACCTCAGCCACGATGCAAAATGAGCATCACGTAGCTTGTGATATATGTGAAAGAGGACACCCTACTCATGAATGTCAAACCTCAACTGAGGAAGTGAATGTTGTAGGAAACTATAATTTTAATACAATGGGTCAGAGGTACCCCGGTTTTTCATGGAGTTCACCTGGGGGTACTGCAAATGCATAGCAACAAAACAACCCCAGATTCCAGGGACAAGGAGCTCCAGGTTTCAAAATCAGGTTTCAAAATCAGCAGAGGCAGCAGTACCAACCTCAACAGTCTAATCAGTCTAGCATGGAAGATCTAACAAAGGCCTTCATTATCAAGACATATGAGAGGCTTGACGCCCATGGTGCAGCTATCAAAGAACTGGGCATATCTTTTCGAAACCTAGAAAGACAGGTTGGGAAACTAGCTACTCTAATTTCTGAGAGGGTCCTAGGAACGCTCCCGGCTAATACAGAAAGAAATTCCAAAGAAACAGTGAATGTTGTAACTTTGAGAAGTGGGCAAGTGTTGAAAGATCTCACCCCGATCCAAAAAGATATGAGACTTGAAAAAGAAAGTGGGGAGCAGCTGAAAAGTGATGTTGATAAGAAGAAGAAAGGCCAGATGGGAGCTGAGAAAAGAAGAAGGAAAAAAACTCGAGAAGGGAGGAACCTGAGGTGAGCAAGCATATGCATGCTCTACCTTTTTCCCAAAAGCTAAGTAGAGAAAAGTTGGACAAGCAGTTTGAGAGATTTTTGGATGTGCTGAAATAAATTCATGTAAACTTACCATTCACAAGTGCTCTCACAGATGCCTGCTTATGATAAATTCTTGAAAGAGATCCTTACGAAGAAGAGGAAAATAGAGGAGACCTCAGTGGTAAAGCTCACAAAGCATTACAGCGCGATATTGCAAAATAAACTCCCACAAAAGTATGGAGATCCAGGGAGTTTTACTATGTCTTGCTCTTTAGGAACTATTAATTTTGATAAATCCTTATGTGATTTTGGTGCTTCAATTAATTTAATGCCTCTATCTATCTACAAGAAACTGGAGAAGGAGATTGGAGAGA